AGAAACTATGGAGGTAAACGTATGAGTATCTACAGTCTCGTGTTTAGGAATAATCATGACCAATCAATTAGTGGTAAGAAATTGATTGGTAAATAATATGTTGAGTTGATTCCATTGGATAGATAGTTTCATGTGAGCACTGCCTTGTTCCCTCTGTCTGCAACGTGATCTCAGTGAAAACTGATGGAACACACCTTCATTCACAAGATACAGTGAACACTTCCACTCTGTCCTTATCGCTTACTGTTGATATCCTCATATTTCTAATTAAAAACCACTGAACGTGTCTGCATGAAGAAGCTGCGGCTTTTCTATGGCTTCAATTACAGTTAAGTTATGAAATCTCTTTACCTGTTGCTGTTAGCTGATTGAATTACACTTCTGGAGACCAAGGTGAAATCTAAGAGGCTTTTTTTCCAATTTGTTTTAAGGTTTTTACATCTTTAATATTTCAGTTTTAATAACTGAGAGTGTAGATGCAGGAGCTAAGATTTTTGCAGCAGCATTTCATTTTTAATTCAAACATTTTTCCTTATGGTATGAAACATTTCAACGGTTCAGATTGTGTATTACTATACTATGTTATTTGTAAAGTATTTTCTACATGCTGTGTACAGCAGAGTATGTTCATATGTAGAATTTTACATAAATGAACATCAAATGTTTTAGAGCCTAATATGACCACAACATAAGGAACTGGCTCCTGTTCTGATTCAATGGCAATGAGTGACATCATGTTCAGTCATCTCTGGGTCATCCTGCTTCCTGCTTAGTTGATATTAAATCCTGGACATAAGCATGAAGGACGATGACAGAAAGTGCCCGATACAATCTTAAAGCACATTTTATGTTATAATAAATCATAGGGCCAAGGGCCTCCATTGGGGGCACATGCCCACTTGCCCATTTTTTTCAACAATAAATTAGAAAGGAAATTAGAATTGGTGCTCATGAGGTTTTCTCGTCATTGTATTCCTCAAGTTTATGTTTTTCTAGTCTGTCATTGTAATATGCTCACATATTGTCGTTCTCCATGAATTTGAACTTGGTAGATGGAGAGAAATCCATCTATCAAAAAAATTGGTTCTTTTTGATTTAGATTAGAGTGTGTGTGTGTGTGTGCGCCCTCTGCTTTGAAGCGGCAGCTGACTGACAGAATCTGTTGAAACCACTCGAGCTCAATTAAATTAAGTTGAGGCTCCGCAGTTGAAGGAAGAGTAGAATTTATTTGATTTACACTTTATATTTTTGGGGCCTCACGCTGTACACTTATTTTTTCAGAGTGGTTCTAAATTTTGCTATCTCTGAAATGATGTTCATGAAAGCCCAGAACTTGAAATGAATCAAAAAGAGCTGCTTTTTAAAAAAACATCGTGCTCATTGATGTATGTAAAGCTGGAACCCTGAGATCAGTTAAGAAGGTGTTTTCTTTAATAAAACAAAAATGTCCAGATATTCCAAAAGCAGAAAATGATTGGAACTGATATTAAAGATGAGAGCAGGTCCTTTCAAACTGAATAACATTTCTTATCGTGTGCCGGCAGCGTTATATGAATTCTTGGACAAGTATTATGAAGTTGCCTGATTTATGGATGTAATGGATTTATGATTTATGGATGTTAGTGTGGATTTGACTTATCAGTGGTCAGACGAGATGAATCACATTGTGTTGCGTTCAGGATTCAGCTTTTTTTGTCTGTCTGAAAGCCGCCAAGACAAATCATCTCTGAAGTCCTCGGTGATGAGGAGTTTCACGCAACACCGAACTCAACATACATCTGACCTGATGAAGCCATTAATAAGCCGAGTGTGCGCTGTGAGGAGGAAACTGTTGTGGTCAGACAGGAGTAAGATGAATAGAGAGGAGCAGTGACAGCATGTTTATACCCACCGTGACGTCTCCCTTCAGCTTTAAAGCTGTCGTAACGAAGCCTCGAGATTATGTCCATTTTGCGCCATCTTGGAGTTTCAAAACCAGAAGTAACCATATTTAGAAGAGCGGGAGGTGGAGCCTGACTGCTTGATGACACTGCACATTAAAATGTGACTTGGGCTGCATTCTTCTGTCCGACTCAAACCAAGCCCAAGCGAGTATTGACTGAGCCTGCCAGGCATGAATCAGATTCACTAACTGAAAACTTATTTTAGTGTTTGTTTGATTCTCACCTATCCTGCTAATTATCATTAATTTATTCAGTTTGAAATCATTACAGCCTCTCTGAGATTATTTGTTATCTTTCAACTAGTCCTAAAGGAAGAAGAGCAAACACCTAAGGTACCCTTGTTACAGAGAAGAAACAGCTTCCTCTCAGAAACAGTGGATGAATAGAATCCTGAGCCCTCTCCTGTGAGCGGTTGTGTCCCTCAGGCTGCTGCTGTGAATCTGTTCTTACTCATCTAACCTGAATAAATCAGGGTTAAAAAATACAGAGCATTAACAAAGTGGAAAATACGATGTAGGCAAGAGGCGCACGACGGCTGCTGAGGTGTTTGATTTGACGTGAAATAAAAAATAACGTGTGTGTGTGTGCAGGGGTAAGATTTTGTGAGCAGGGATTTCATCTACTGCAGATTTTCACATCTCTGAACACGCACATATACGTACACATGCTTCAAAGTGTTGCACTGTCCTGTGGTGATACCTTTCAGCTTCTATGCAGGGGGGGGGTTCTTTGCTGCAAGACACAGAAAGCCACAGGGAAGCGGACACACGTTTTGGAAAAGGCAGGATTTTATGTTCTCTCTCTTTCTTGGGGATCTCAGGCTTCATCTACACTCCTTTGTTTTTTACGCCCTGTCCACACTAATGCAGATTTTTGGCATTAGTGTTTCTTTGTTTCTTCCAAAGTACATATTTTCAAAAACCATGTGCAGATGTGTGCACATGTAAAACAGCGTTTGAGAAACAAAGGTCGTGTGGATGGAGATTTTCTAAATGGGTATGGGGGAAATGTATATCGTATAGACAAAGCCAGTGTACGTGAATGTTCAGGGGATATACTGTACGTTTTCAGGTGTTTTAGAATGGATGGGGACTTTTACTGATGCAGAGCTAAAAGTGCTTGTGCGAAAGGAGATATTTTTAGTTTTATAACCCAGTTTAAAATGAAAACTCAGAATCACACCTATTCACATACATATTATTCTGCCATATCAAAAATTCACGCTTTCTGTAATCAAACCCTCATTCCTCTGCCGCCTGTCTCTCCTCCACTTGCCAGGCGTTGCTGAAGATGGACTGCCAGGGTCTGGTTGCCAGGTTGGTCCTGGATTTTGTTCTGTTGACCACAGCGGTGGAGGTGGCGTCCCGGTGGAGGGAACTGGCTGAGAAACTGGCACGAGTGTCAAGGCAGCAGATGGAAGCGTACGAGGCTCCACACCGCGACAAGAACGGACTTCTGGACAACGAGGTGAGGCAGCGGGGACAGAATTATACAAGAGATTTTCACGTCTAATGTTGTGGGTCCCACATTCCCAATTACCCGTTATCTTGTCACTAAAATCTTGTTCTTTCCTTGTCTCTGACTTCTACCTGACTCCTTCAGTCCATGTGGAAGCCAGCCTACGACTTCCTCCTGACGTGGGCCGCCCACGTCGGCGACAGCTATCGCGACGTGATCCAGGAGCTCCACGTCGGCCTGGACAAGATGAGGAACCCCATCACAAAGAGGTGGAAGCACCTCACTGGCACGCTCATCCTCGTCAACTGCCTCGACACACTCCGCAGTGCCGCCTTCTGCCCCACCGGGTACGGAGACTTCGCTGTCTGAGGACTTTCTTCCAGGTGGTGAATTTTTTTTCTTGATCTACGTGAGGGTTTTATTCTCCAGCTTGTGACCGACGTTGTGGAAGCTCAGTGTTGACTTTTGACTCATGTGGGAATTAAGTATCTATCATGGACACTTCTGAGGAACTGTGCTGGGGACACAAAGCTTGAGACGGACTCAGAGATTAAACTATTGACGATTTCTGGCATTTGAAAAGACGATGTGAAATTGTAGGATCTGCCTCTTTCTCTTTATTTATGCCTCTTTTTCATTTGTTCTGCTGTATTCTCCTTACACTCCTCTTCATCTCCTTCTACCTCACCCTTTTCTTAATCCATGTATCTCTTCTTGTCTGCTGTCTGCTGTCTCTCCACCTTTTTTTCTGTTGCTTCATTGATTTTCTCTCTTCGGACCTCAGGACATCAGAGACCTCAACCCCTGCAGTACATAACCAGACGGACTATGACCTTCTCATCATCTCTTAAAGTTGATTTGATTGCCTGCGTCCACAATCTTGACATTTGCAAACTTTCAACATAATCTTATTTCCCCTCCAGTTCTAATCACCTGTTTTTGTTAGGCTGATGTTTTTAAAAATGTGTTCATACATTCACACATTACTAACTTTCTTGCCAAACAAAAAGGTTAGCCCGGTTCTAACTTCACAACTTTGCTATAAAGGTACGTGTTTCTCCCGATGCAAGATATATATATATATATATATATGTGCTATTTTTTATACTTGAAGAACGTGTTTTTGTTGTGTTGCATTTTTAATTTCTTTTTCCAGTTTTGCTTTCTGTCGGTGAAACATCTATTTATTAATCCAAAATACTCTGATATATTTCAGATTAATTAACATTTTAACAAAATAATGTAAGAAAATGTACATTACCCTGACAACTCGATCATGTTAACCTTCCCAACCAGAAATTCCAGCAAAAGGTATTTTGCTATTATTCATTGTTATTGTAAATTTATTCTTTTTACTTATTTAACTCTTAGAGTAAATCAAATTATTTTCCTTGTGGCTCCAGACATAAACGCTGCTTCCTCCATGTTAGTGGATGGGACATGTGAAAAAAGTCAAAATATACCTCAAATGTATTTTTCTCAAAGATGGTTCCTGGTTTCTGTTTGGTCTTAATTCGTTGTTTGATGATATAAAAATGGGGTGAAGCATCTCGATTGACAGCTGACACGGACTCGCAATTGGTCGAGCGCTTGTATCTGCGGGACCTTGACACTGACTTGACTCCACAATCACCATTTGGCTTTATTTTTGGAGAAAGTGGAGCTGCGACTTCCTCTTTAGGAAGAAAGGCCCCGCCTACAGGAATCATCCCATTCCTGCACCAGACCTCATCCACTCCTCTACCCTCAGTTTCACACACTGTTGAATATCTTTCTTTTATTTCTCTGTTTTTCCCAATTACAGAAGGTAAGCGTCTCTATTCATTGAGCTTTTGAGCTGAGTCTTCACATCCCTGGTTTCGTCTTCCCACCCCACGTCATCTATCCCCCCCATGACCCTTCCTTTCATCCCTCGACCCTTTGACCCTCAATCCATCCCTCCTGCATCATCTCAGCTCACATCCGTCTCTATTGCGCAGTAAATAATTCTTTAGTTTCCTGGTCTCTGGTGAAAACGACACAGAAATCATCCAGTTTTTGTTGAATTTGTATTTTAAGAAACCTTCTGATTTTATGATCTCTGCATGAATAATCAGTCAGCTATGACGCTTGGATTTTCTTTGTTTGTCTGATTTTTTTCAATCTTTCCTTCCTGTATGTTTTGTGGCTGAGCTGTATCTGTTTGTTTCATGAACCTAACTGGACAGAAAACGTGCACAGAGTTTATATATTTGTACTGAATGCCGACTGAGTATTGACACATTCTTCACATGTTGTATCGACTGTGACAGTTTCTCGCAGATCTGAAATCTGTTCTGTAGAAATCAATTAAAAGGAAAGTCACTGACGCAAAGTGTTTTCTGTGAATACAAGAACTAACTCATGATTTAAGTTGGATAAGTGGATGGAACTAAATTTTATATTAATATATATATATATATATACATAGCATTCAGAAATTAGAAGTGGTGTATGATAGTAAATGTGTGTGTGAACGGGTGAATGTGACTTGTACTGTAAAACTTGTACTTGTGTATAATTTACATATATATGTAGTGTGTGTGTATATGCAATACATTTTGTGTGCACTTACAGTATATTTATATTTTCATTTATCCTTCAGAGATGCAGCAAAGCGGTAATAGATTCTCTCCTCCACCTTCAGGACATGTGAGTCATGTCCCCTGGATTCTCTGCAAAGGAGCATTTATTAAGTGCTTGTGCTGTGTTGAGTGTTGTGACATCATCATGAATTACACACACACACACACACACACACACACACACACAAACACACACTACACACAGAAAACATGTCCCAATATCACGCACAAATGATCTCATACACTTAGTCCTGCAGAAATGCCACACATGACTGCACAGCTCCATCCATATGTGGTGTTGTTTATAGAAAAACACAAATCATCTGCACACACACACACACACACACACACAGTTTTTATTACAGTTAATTGAAGCTTATTATTTGCCCTCTCAGAGGACAGGCCACCTTGACAGACTCATCCGTTGCCTCTCGAATCACAATCAACATTAATTTCAAATTTAGATTCTAAATGGGTATAAATAAATAAATATGCACATTCCCTCTGTGGAGATAGAAATATTATGAGGAAGATAAATAAGCACAGGTTCATATTTTCAAAGCTATCGAAGCTGGTGTTTTCTTTGGGGGCGTAAAGGCAAGGCAGAGTTCTTATCACTTGACACGACTCGAGGGCGGGTTTGATCTTTTCAGTTAGTGCAGCTTAAACAGCACTAAGGGAATAAAGTTACTCCAATAATAAGAAACCAAATCTCGTCTATAATCACAGGATCCCAGATTTTATTTTCCCATATCTGAGTCTATATTTAAAACAAATGCAAAAGCGGTTGTGTGTGTGTGTGTGTCTGTTTTCACTTCACGGGTCTGCAGATTGGAACTGGCTCTTGAAAGATAAAGATCGTGCTCCGTCATTCAGTGGTTTGTTATTCGTGTAAACCTCTGGTTAGGTCGATTGCAAGAACTTCAGCTGATTGATCACATGAATCATTAATGTGCTGAACACTGATTTCACTTTTCAGTTTCTCTTCCAGGCTGAAGCGCTCTGCATTCACATATGTTCACATTATGTGATTTGTCATAACCATCTTGGGGCAACAGCCAATATTTTGGGGCCAAGACTCCATTCTCTGTAAACTGTTAACAGCCCTGCTAGTTCCTATTTTGAAACACAGAACACAAGCAGCGACACTTTTTGTAAATGTTTTAGGTCCAGACGACATTTTGGCTAATCTCAATAAACAGCTATCTGCCTCCTGCTCATATGTGATCAGTCAAACTAGAAACAGAAACCAGAAGGCCTCCAGCCCCGAAATCAAATTCCACGAGAGAGGATACTGAATTAAAAAACCTAAAATACTAATAACAAAAACTTCAATTAGACTTTGTTGTGTTTTCTAAATTGTGTTTCTCAGAAGGTTATTCCCATGATGCTGCAGACAAATCCACGATGATGACATCAATCCTGCTCATAATTATATGTCGGGGAATAAAAACATTTCCACACAGGCCTGTGGGTTTTCAGCAGCTGGTGGATCAAATATTGATGAGACTCATTAAGCCTCTGTTTACTGCATCATTTAGATTCATGTTAACTTTTAGCATCATAAGAAAAACACATTATTAGCTTCTGTTTTATTTCCTCCGCCGAGGAGGTTACAGTTTTACCTTGTGTGTTTGATTTTCAGCAGGATTACTCAAAAACTACCCAACAGATTTCCACTAAAGCTTGGTGGAGGGATGCGACACGGGCAAAAAGATAACTTATTACACTTCGTTGATGATCTGGACGAAGCTGCAGGAATTTATTATTTAATAATCTTTTTTTTTGTGTGGTGCAGCTTGACTGTTGTGTGGTTAAAGAATAAATCTCTTCCTTTTTTCTGTAAAGTATATTTCTGTGAGGTGAATAAATCACCAGACATTTGATAACAAAGAGGAGTTCAGCTGCGTCAGGAAAAATAATCAGCTGGCAGAGCAAAACAAAAGAACAACGCTCAACATCAAACTTGAGCAGAGAAACTGAATTAAATCAAGTTTAATTACAAGGTTCTCAATCCTTTTCTCTACTGTGCTGCAGAACCGAAGATCACCTGCCAACTGTTCCCCAGTTTGTTCCAGCGAGGGGGTTTCAGCCGCTTGTTAAGAAGCACACTTTGTTTCCCGGTAACCCTTCTCAAGCATCCACTCGTCGGCTGTTACCTGAGGAACGGCGAGGAGACAGCGGAATAAATTAGAGGCAAGGCGAGACTGTGTGGGCAGCGGGCGAGAGACATTCAGGCGACTCAGCCTCGTTAGAGAGAGAGAGGAGGGCAGTTAGAGTGAGTTGTGATCTTGTAAATTGTGTGTGTGTGTGTTTGTGTGTTTCTAATTTGTTCCATTGATCACACACACACCCACACTCATTAGAAGGGAAATCAATGTGGGAGGAGGACAGAGAGCAATTAGTGAGGTCTTGATGACTCAGGTTGTGTTGTCGCTTGTTTGCATTTTCTCCCTTTTCCTCATTTATTTACAACTAATTCCAATTCTGCTACTTTCCCTTAAAAGCCTAGTTTAGCCACCGGGGCCTGTTTTACAATTTCTGGCTAATTAGAGCTCGGTGCAGGTTCGCTGGAGGTTTTCAGAGAAATTCCCCCAAAAAATCAATGTTCGGAGCTACCAGCTGCTGGGAAAGAGTGCAGGTAAAACTACCAAAACCAGTGTTAGTTAGAAACTTCAAGTTTGTTTTGTTCTGTCAGCTTATCCCATGTAGTGTTTGGATGGGCCTGGGCTCCAATTTATGTCAGCTCTAGTCGCCTTGTGGTCGTTCCCAGAGCCTGATTGCTAACTTAAGGCTATCCTGCTCCTATCTCATGACCCTTTGGTTACCAGCGTAGAACACAACACAGATAATCAATCACAAGTGCTGCAATGATACATACCATTGATACCATTTATACCAGCGTGTGACGTGTGCATGAGTTTTCCTTTGATTTGCCTTTTCAGGCTTGTTAGTAAGGTTTGGGATTAAAAATGACACAGAGCCAAAACGCTGGTTTAAATGAAACTTAATAAAATAGATTTAGTCTTTTACATCCACAAAAAATATATATAACACACCAGAGGAAGGGAACACTGAAAAAG